CAAATTTCCTCTTGTTCATCTGGGGCTGGTTTTACTTTAAAACTAGAGCCTGATTTGCTTCTAGCAACGTTCAACTGCAAATAACGTGTGCTGGTATGAGAAAGTTAGAATGACTTTTTTTTGTTTAAGTGACTGGTTAATACTATGACCAGAACAAGAGTTTAAAAATTAATTAGCAACAAATAACGGTATGGTTCCACTTATATTCAGTACCTAGAGTGGTCAAATACAGACATAGAAAGGAGAATGGTGGTTGCCAGAGGCTGGAGGGGAGGGGTAGGAAATTGGGAGTGAGTGCCAATAGGTACAGAGTTTTGGGGGCAATAAAAGTGTTCTAAATGAAATAGTGGTAATGTTTGCACAACTCTGAATGTACTGAAAACCACTGAACTGCATACTTTAAAAGGGTGAATCGTATGGTATGCGAATTATATCTCCAAGCGGTTATTTAAAAAGTTATACCTGCTGTTGTTATAAATTCAAACCATAATGACCTGTAAAAGGTGAATCTGCCATACCCCACAATCTCACTCCCAAAATTCACCACTGATAGCATTTGGGCAGGTATCCTTTCTTCCTGATGTCTTAAAATTCCATATACATGCACATATAAATGTTTAGATATGTAAATATACATGACATACAGGTATGTGATACTGTGTTTTGCAGAAATGGGATCCTATTATACCTGTTATTCTGCAGCTTGCTTTTTTCACTTTTTTCGCTTCTTTTGAGGATGTATTTCCACGATGTCCTTTTTTACAGCTGTGTGTTTTTCTTTTTTCTGCTGTGCTGAAACTGAATGACGCAGTCCCTTGCTAATGAACATTTAGATTGTCCCCAGTGCTTTGCTGTGAGCAAACAATGAACATCTTTGTATGAACATCCGGGGCCCCTAGGATAGTATTTTTGGAGGACAAAATCCTAGAAATGGGCCTGCTGCATCACATTAAAGGTGCAAATCCCCACTTTTAACTGATGTTGACATTAAACCTTGGACAGGTGACATCCTTGTCCAGGATCTTTCAGCAAGTCAGTGGCATAGAGAGTAAGTGGTGGGTGAAATGGGGCCTCTAGGTACTGCCTTCCACCCCCAGGAACACACGTGCACACATGGACCTCTGGCTCTGAGAAATAAGCAGCCCACCAGCCTCTGAACAAGTGCAAAGTCGGGTGGATTCAACAGCTGGAGGTTGCCAGGGCCATGATGAAATTAGTTTTTCCCACTTCCCCTTCAGGCCCCCTTCATGGCGGTTCCTCTCCTTCTTTCTGAAATTTATCTTGAGATATCTGTGTGAAAATAAAGGTAAACCATAGGTCCTGGTTATTCATTCACTCATTCATTCCCAGTGCTCATTCTATGTTAACTCCTCCCACCCCCAGTGGTTCTGTGTTTTTCTTCCTGCCTTTGTATCTGCCTCCTTCACAGCCCTCCTACGAAACAAGTTGGAATAGTAAATGGAAAGCATGGCAAGCGACCCCAACTAGTCAGGGGCCTCCTCCGGATGCCGGCTGTTCCTTGGGCTTCCTTTTCCCTTGCCCCTTATCATGCTGGACAGAGAAGCGAGGAGTCTGTCTCTCTCACCAGACTAGCTAGCACTTATCTGCTGGAATCCTGCCCTGCTACTGGGATACCTGCAGCTGTTACCTGGAATAAATTAGAAAGGATTCAAACTCTGCCTCCCATGGCATCTCTCCCTGGCTCGCATTCAGCTCGCTCTCTTGAGGGATAGGTATCATTCAGCTCAAGTGTCCTCACCCCAAGGAGGCCTTCCCTAGCCACCCTGTTCCCTAGTCTGTATCACAGAGCCTTGCTTTACTTTCTTCTGAGCGCCTCCCTCCATCTGAAATGATCTTTGTCGATTTGTTGACTCGTTCCCTGCCCATCTTCCTGACTAGAACGTTGGTTCCACAAGGGCAGAAACCCTGTCTTGTTCACCCCAGGAGCAACAACGAGGTAGCAGGTGCTCAGGAAGCATTTGTTGAATCATGTTTGAATATAAATGCCTGCGCAACGTCTGGAAGGCTGTTTCAAACTGACAGCTGGAGCTGCTACTTAGGAGGGTAGTGAGATTGAGACATACAGGCAAGTAGGAACTTTAGCTTTATTTTATTTTTAAATTTTCGATAAGGAGAATGTATTCACTTCTCAACCTACAGTTAAACAAACAAACAAAAACACTGAATGAAGGGTCCAAAGCCCTCCATCCTAATCCCGAAATTATGGCCTGATTTTGGGCCAGTGACTTGCCTAACCGTCTGTGGCTTCTGACCTCACCTGCAAACACAGCCCCACCTCCCATTTGAACCCAGATTTACAGTCTGCACAGTATTTTTCCATCTATTATCTCACCTGATTACCCACAACTGGCAAAACAAAGATTATCCCGATTTTACAGGGTAGGAAATTGGGGTTCATAGGAGTGAGTCGTCTGGCCTGTGGTCACACAGGCCCTTACTTCCTATCATGGTGAGCTGACTCAGAAATGAACTTATAAAACCTACAAATGGCTAATAGGGGCCCAGAAGGCTGTGCTGTGTAAGCTATTAGTATGGTAACAGGGATCAAGGTCAGTTTTGGAGCTGTCTTCAGGGACCTGAAGAGAGCCCCTCAGGCTGGTGAGGAGAGGGATATAATCCCTCCTGAGTTTTAACGAAAGAGTCCTAATGGTCTTTGAAGGCTGAGGTGGGTCTGGTATTAGGGTCCTGAGGCCAAGTTCTTGATGTAATGAGAGCACCTGGAAACCATCTTTCCTGGAGTTGCTTTCCCACAGAGGACAGGGAAGGTAGAAAGGTGACTGCGCAGGTTTGTGAGGGGCCAGGAGGGCTGACCAGGAAGCTGGGCTCATGGTAGCCCCTTCCTAGGAAGTCTGAGAGTCCACATTTGGGGCCTAGATGGTGGTCTTTCAGCCTCAAACAGAACCAGGGTGTGAGGCTGACCTGGGCTGGCAAGCTGGGTCATCATTGTATCCTGGTCTGGGACTCAGTGGACCTTTGAGGATAGGGGATTCTCCAAGTTGGCCTCTCTCCTCAATAATTTACTCAAAAAGGCCCAAGTGACAAGTTAAATATGAAATGTTTTCAATTCATTTTACTTGTTTACCAGGTACCAGATAGCAATAGTTAGCATTTATGGGTGATGACTAAAGATCAGGGTACATTACTCTTAATCCTCTCAGCCACCTTGTAAAGAAATTATCCCCATTTCTAAGATGTAGAAGCTGAGATTCAGGGCAGCTCAAGATCACATGTCTAGGCAAGGATTCGAACCTGGGTCAGTATGACTCCCAAACCCTTATTCTTTCCATACCCGCGGCCCCCTAGGGCTGAGGGGTGACAGAGATGACTAAGACCCTGCTCCTCCTCTTGTGGGGTGGGGCAACAGACATATCCAGCTAACTAACTATTGCACTGCTCAGAGTGATAACACTGCCAAGGCAGGTGGCAGCCCGCCAGCCATGCGGAAGGCTGATTCATCTCCTGGAGGAGGAAAGGCCCCTTGGGGGGGGGGCGTCGCAGACTCAAATTTTAAAGGGGGAGCAGATGGAGAGTGAAGCTGGGGAAGTTCGAGGGCAGACCCCCAATGCCCTGCCAGACAAGGGCCTGCTTCCCATAGGTCCTTCCCAAGAGAGCCCATCCCAGGAGAGGCAGGAGAGGGGCCCCAGTGGGGAGCGGGGAGATCCCGGAGCCCACACAGTGGGTCAGGAGACCTCTGTAGGACAGGTGGTCAGGCTCAACACATCCCTGAGTGGACACCTGGACTGATGGTGGTAGTGGGGAGCATGGAGTCTCTCTGGCAGGATACTGGGAGAGGGGCTGGGGAAGACAGAACTACCTGCAGGTCAGGGGCGTTTGGGAGTGGTGAGACAGAGTGAAGGACGCTGGTGGCCAGGTGGCGGTGCTTTGGGTTCTGCAGGGGAACTGCCTGATTGGCCTGAGGTGGGGGGATGCCTCTCCAAAGTTTCAGGCAAGGGGAGGTGGGTGGGTTTAGAGAAGTCAGTGTGGGGGATTTGCAGGTCGTCAGGCGAAAGAGTGGGAAGAAGTCAGGTTGGGAGGAAGAGGAGAGTTCCCGGTGGGCAGCATGGTGGAGGTGGTGGGTGGAGGACGTCATTGTGAAGAGGGGCTAGTTTGCGGGCGGCGAGGGGTTAATGGGCTGTCCCAGAGTTCTTTGAGGGGTCACCGTGGGGAAGGAGTCACTGGGGGTCGCCGAGGAGGGGGGCGGTAGACTGCCGGGCTCGTGGGGGT